GAGAGAGAGAGAGAGAGAGAGAGAAAAAAAGAAGGGAAAAAAGAAAACAAACGATGCCGTCAATGTAATTGAAGCCAGACGAACACTCGATGCCACATAGGCCCTTCCAGTAGCCCCCACCCCTCAAACACAAAAAGAGCCTGGCACGTGTCAGATACGGCGCTCATTCCTCTTGCACACATCACAAGCGGCACAACCAAGACGCAAGATCCACCTCCTGGTGTTTTTGTTTGCCTCAAATGATCTTCCCACACAACACGCATCGAGGAGACGTCCACAGCGTCGTAGCACATTAAATATACGGTCCGAGTTTTGTTTGTTTGTTTGTTTGTTCTTTTTTTCTTTCTCCGTTTAAACTCAACAAGTGAAGAAAACAAATAGGAACGAACGCAATATCGTATCCCGTCCTCCCCCCGCTCGAGGCATCGCCTCATTCTGTTCTTTTTTTTTTTCAACGCATTGCGCCTCACATCCTTACTATCTTTTCTTTCCCCCCTTATTCTCTTCTTCCTGCGTATGCATGTATGTGCCTTTTGCTCATTCCATTTAGGTATGGGTGCGTGTGTCACTCATCGGTGAACAGCTCGCGAATCGTCTCCGCGTACTCAACATCTATGGCGCTGCGGCGAAGTTTCATTGAGGCAGTCAGCATACCGTTCTCCGGCGTCCACTCATCTGCCAGCACGCGGACGTGGCGCAGCAGCTCGAATGGACGACGGCCTTCGGTCTTGGCGTATGCGGCAAGGGACTCCGCAGCACGCTGGTGCAGGAGGGGAGCCTCAAGCACGTCAGGCCACGCGCCAGTGATTTTGTTGGCGGCAGCGAACTGCCTCGCCTTGGAAGCATCCGTCAGAATGAGCGCGCAGATGTATGAGCGTTGCGGGTGAACAAGAACGCAGACGCCGTTGGGGCACACAAGCGGGTGCTGCGCGTAAAGTGCCTCGAGGTACTCGAGCGGGATGTACTCGCCCAGTAGGTTCTTCGCAAGCGCCTTCACGCGGCCAATGATACGAATAAGGCCGGTGTCGTCCATCTCCACCACATCGCCAGTGCGGAACCAGCCGCCTGGCAAGAATGCCTCCTGCGTCTGCTGTTCCTGTTTAAGGTATCCCTTGAAGAGAAATGGACCGCGCACCAGCAGCTCCCCGCGTGGGCACGGCTTGTCCGTATGTTTGTACTCCTCTGTGTCGTACAGCTTCGCCTCGACGACTTTCAGTAGCTGCCCCGCTGCCGGATACAGCTCACCGGTGCGTTGCACTGACGCGTTGCAACACGTCTCCGTCAGCCCGTAGCCCTGAGCCATTGGAACACCAAAGACAACGTTCATGAATTCCTGCGTCTTGTCGCCAAGTGGGGCACCACCGCAAACGATGCCGCGCGCCTTGCCGCCGAACATGCTACGTGGAACACGAAACACCTTCTCATTCAAGAAGGGGGTGTCCTTTCCGTTTTGCAGCGCCTGGAGCCGTGAGGCGTACGCGGCCTCGAAGATGGTGCGCTTCAAGCTTCCCTGAGGGAGCTGGCTCTCCACAGTTTTGCGTATTGTTTCGAAGATGCGGGGAACACCGACGAACAGCATCGGTTTGAACTCCGACAGGTCCCCACGCGGGCGTGCGGAGACATCTGTGAGCGTGCGTGGCGAGCCGTAACACAGCAACGATCCGCGATTCAGCATGATAACCTCGCAGATAAACTCCAGGATGTGTGCAAGTGGGAGGTAGACAAGGTACGTCTCGCCCTCTTCCTTCGGGCCAACAAGTTCCGTCAGTCGGTTGTCGAGTGCCATCGCGCCGGCGCTGAGCGAGCCAAATGTGTGAATGACCCCCTTCGGCTCCGCGACGGTGCCGCTGGTGTACATCACCAGCGCTGTGCGGTCGCAGTCAGTCGGCACCACGGATGTGGCGGTGCTGCTCAGGCCCTTCTCCACAACCGCGTTCCATGGCACTGCCGTGAGGCTCTCCACATCAAGGCCGGCGGGGAGCGCGTCGAGGTAGATTATGGCCGTGTGCTCGAGCCCCGCCTTGCGCAGCAGCGGCAGTAGCGACTTCACGGACTTGCCGTTGCACACAATCGCCGGGCACTCGGACTCCGCCAGCGCGTGCAGCAGCGCAGCCTCGCCCAGGTTGGCGTACACCGTCACACTGACCATCCCCTGCGTCCAGACGCCGAGTGCCGACGCCATCCACTCCCACCGCGAATCCTCATATAACGCAACTCTTGCACCCTCCTTGAAGCCCAACTCTGTAAGACCCTTACCGAACGCTGTGGCCTTCCCCCAGAATTCCGCGTACGTCATGTATATGGGGTCGCTTAGATATGTTACCTGCCATTCCTTTGTGATGCCTTTCGCGTCCTTGCGCTGCTCCGTCTCAACCTTTTGCACGGTGCGGTACGCAATCGCACGGTGCTCACCATTCTTTTTGCACGTCTGTTCCAAGCGTTGCATAAAATTTATCCCCTCATACCATGTTTTGCTGCAGTGTGCAAACTCCTCCTCTGTGACGTTGGCTACGCGGTACACCGCCGAGGAGACGTCATCTTCCGGCGGGCCGGAAACCACCGTCAAGGGCCCGTAGCGGCGCCGCTCCTCAATGTAGCGGTCTGGGACCTCACGCGAACGGCTTTGCCGCACCAGCACTGAAGCTACACAGCCTCCCATCACGCTTCCCTAGCGCCCTGTTAAGAGGAAAAGCACAATATATACACAGAAAGAAGATGCAAAAAGAATTAAAAATTCAAACCCAAATGGCACCTCCGCCTGCAGAATCTGTGTTTCATGATAGGCGTCATCCTCGCCCCACACGCACAACTTGGAAGTTTCACCTCTTCACAGAAAGCAAGAGAAAGTTGCAATGCTTCTGTTATACCACACACATATTAGGATTACTTGCGTGTATCTTTTTTTTT